AACTGACTCAAACTTACGGCGGCAGCTCAGGTACAAATAGCCAAATCACATTATCAACCTAACCACCGAAAAAAGTTCCACTGAAGTTATGGACATTCTAAGAGATTCCAAAATTTATTAAGGGTCTACTCCTAGAGGATTTCAGAATCACAAAGTATCACCCAATTCAAGATTCAAGACAACTTCAAAATCACCAATCATTTGTGGCCAAACTTAAGGTCAACCAAGAATCTTTAAAATTCATCTATAGAGAATCCAGCTTATAAATACTTATACGGTATAAGCTTCAAGATTCATCGACAAATAAGCAACAGAATCCTCGAGAATCACTCCCTCCTCATAGACAAACAACACTTGACGCCAGCAGTAAGCAGCCAGCAAGTGAAGCCGACACATCTCCCAGCTACTGGTCAGCACCTCGTCTGACTTTCCCTTGTGTGCGTGCGTACAGTATGTGAACATGTACCCGGTGTACACGGACGCCATCTTGTGAACGTCATAACGGATGCTATCTTGGATTGAAACCTTAGTAGTGACGTATCTAGGAGAGTGACGCCAGGACCAGCCCCTGTGAGCGACCTTCTCATACTCTCTAGTCAAGTTGATCAACTTTATGAATTTCAAAACTCCAATCACTATAACTTAGGTTAGTACAAAGCGTTAAATTAGTTAACAGGCAACAAAAACACTCACATGAAGAAAGACTTCACATGGTAGTCATTCTAAAATTACTGCATATAAATATAGTGTTTTACACTACTTTTAATTAAAAGCACAAAATAATAACAGTAGTATTTTGGTTACTTAAATTATATCAATGACTAGTTTAATATAAATAAATAATAAGATAAATTATGATTCATATGTACTCATATATACGGGTGTTTACAGCAATTATCACTGACACTCATTACTATTCTTTCATTTCTTTCATGAAGAGACATTGACTTTTTTTTTTTTTTAAATTCTCCATGTTGTGGATACCTAGTCATGTCGGTATCTTGGGGAATGAGGCAGCAGATGGCCTTGCCAAGGCTGGCTGCAACAAGGCCACACCTGACTACGTTGTTCCTCGAACACTCTTACAGATTAGGACCCAAATCCGCCGCAAACAGAGAGAAGCTCGGGAAGCAGCCATCCCCCTGGACTCCCCGCCCACCTGGTACGATGTCCTCCGTAAACTTCCTGACCTCTCGTACGTCTACGGGAAAGGGTCGCGGAAGGGGGACGTGATTGCTGCCCGTATCATCATTGGGTATGACTTTGCTTGGGAGATTGGTATCCCCGCATCCCCTGAGCAACGCTCTTGTGCATTATGCAGAAGACCCGACAGCCGCACCCTTATTCACTACCTCCTAAGATGTCCCCACACACAACGCTTCCGTGACGCCTGCTGGACCACCACTCCACGACCCCCTGACGGAGACACGATGATCCTCCCAATACTGGCCAGCTATTTTGTAAATAATATTGATTATGTGTTAAAGGAACATCCTTCCTTCCTTAGGCTTTAGTAAGCCCCTTTATAATATTTATACTGTATATACTTTTCACACTTGCCAGATGATTCTGGTGTCATTGTACAGGGGTACCTAGTGACAGCACTAGGATCCCGCTTCCTCTATCAAGGAATAAACAATTGAAATTGAATAATTAAAAAGTGAACATTTAAGTAATACTAAAATATACAATCACTTTAACTTAATGTAAATGGATTGGAAATTTAAGTAAACAATTATTGCATCTTTTTTATTTAACATTTATGGATCATCTAATTGATTTAAGTGAACAAATAATTCAAAACTTGGATAATGATTCAAGTAACACTGTACCCGTTGACACAGTTACCACCGACAGGCAAGCACTTGAGGGTGTGAATGTATTACAAGCCAATGAGCCTGAAGTACAGGTAGATATTTCAGTTGAAAGTATTGAACGAATTATAGACCACATATTTGATGAGTTAGAAGTTACATAACTGAGGTCAGGATGTAATTAAGAGACATCACCCCGATATAGCATATACATCCCAGTATAGTGTACCTCCTACTAACACAACAACCCAGTACATGTATAGTGTTTTGGCACCATCTACTTCATATACTAGCACTGTACCTACGTTTCAGTTAACTAGTAAACCACTAACGGCGTGATACAATATGACACGGGTGCCGAATAATTTTTTAGTGGGTGTACATCACAGAGAACGGCTTGGCTCTGCAAGGGATGACTCAGGTGGAGCTGAGGCACTCTCCTTTTTTCTTTACTTAATGATTGGGAACAAACAATTAAACACCCTACACGAGTTCCTGATCGACATGATCAACTTACTATCATTCTTGATCTTTGTCTTACCTCTAACCCATAACATTATTCATACCCAATTTCTGCCTCCTTGGGGATCTTCTGATCAAAATCATATTTCTATCAAATCAAACTGGGCACGACCACCTCCCCAACCCCCCCCCTCTAAAAGCCAACTATGGCACTATTGGAGGGCAAACTGTCAATCCTTGCCAGAATTCTTCGCCGACTTTCCCTGGGATGAATGTTGCTTTTTCACTCGGGACGCCTCGGTATGTGCTGACAACATTGCTGGGGTTATACAGGGTGGTATGAGTGCATTTATCCAATCTTCTACCAAAACTTTAACGTTACAATCATGGTTTGATCGCTCCTGTTCTCTTGCATGTAGGGAGAGAGATAGAGCATATCAAGTAATGAATCTATCTCCTCCTGTTACCCAGTCCTCTTTCATTACTTCTAGGAAACGTTGTAATGTTGTATAAAAAGACACAGCTGACATGACTAACTTTTCTTCTAGTAAGCCCTTCTGGTTCTTAACCAAAGGAATCTGTAATAACTTCTGTACTACCTCTTTTCCTCCTCTCTTCCGATCTGATAACTCTATAGCCAACTCCCCCCCTCATGATAGAGCCAATCTCTTTGGCACCTTATTCTCCTCTAACTCCACCTTAGACGATTCCAACTCCACCCCTCCTACTCCTGCTCCTCCTAGTGAACCTAGTGGAAGTGAGTCGGCGCATGGGCCGGACAGAATACCCCCTCGTGTTCTGAGGGAGTGTGCTGAAGCTCTGGCCCCTGTACTTGCTCGCCTCTTTCGCCTTTGCCTCAAAACCCAAACTTTTTCTTCTTCTTGGAAGCATGCCTCGGTTCAGCCCATCCCGAAGAAGGGTGACCATTAAAATCGCTCTAACTATCGCCCCATTGCCCTAACTTCATCCCTCTCTAAAATTTTCGAAACTATCTTAAACTCCCATTTTCTCTCATCTTGAACGCCTTTCTGTTTTGTCGGAACACAAGTATGGCTTTCACCAGGCGAGATCTACTGATTCTACTCTTCACTCTTCTTCACATTTTTCCGCCCCCCTTAATTCTCAAACCAGATCTGAAATCATTTCATCTACCAATGCGGATCTTCCACCAATCACATTTGAGGACGCTATCATTCTGCCAAATTCTAAAATAGATATGCGAGGCCTTACCATTTCCTCTAATATGTCATGGAAGCCACACATCCACAACATTGCTAAAGCTGCCTCCCGAAAGCTGGGAATGCTGTACTGATGCCGTAGTTACTTCACTTCTGAACAGTTGCTTCAAGTTTATAAGGGATTCATTCGTCCTGACTTGGAGTACTGCTCTCATATGTGTGGCTTCCATGACATATTAGAGGAAATGGTAAGGCCTCGCATATCTATTTTAGAATTTGGCAGAATGATTGCGTCTTGAAATGTGATTGGTGGGAGATCATCTAATTTGGAAAGAGTAACTGGCAAATACTGTGTTTTATTATTATTGAATTTAACCAAGTTTTTACCTCCCCATTCGGAGATGCTGCACAGATGCGCATTGATAGATGAAAATGATATCAGTTGTAGACATAGATCTAGTTTGAGAATTAGGGGGAAGAGAAAAATATGAAGAAGAGTGAAGGGTAGAATCATCAGCATAAAGATGGATAGAATTAGTCGTAGTGTCAATGTAAATCATTGATAAGAAGAAGGAAAAGAGTAGGTGAACGAACAGAACCCTGTGGGACACCACTAGTGGCAGAGAAAGGGAGGGAGATCGAACCCTCGACAACAACTGCTATGTATCGGTTCTCAAGGAAGCTAGAAATTAGACAAAAAGGTGGGGGAGAAAAACCATAAGAGGGAAGACTTGTGCCATACCCTGTCAAATGCCTTGGAGATGTCGAGGGCCACGACGAAAGTTTCCCCATAATCCCCAAGAGAGGATGACCAAAGATGGATGCAGTAGGGGAGCAGATCACGAGTAGATCTCGCCTGGCCAAAGCCATACTGGTGATCCGAGAAAGTCGTTCAAGGTGGCGGAGAAAATGAGAGTTTAAGATAGTTTCGAAAATCTTAGAGAGGGATGAAGTTAGGGCAATGGGGCGATAGTTAGAGGGATTGGAATGGTCATCCTTCATCGGGATAGCTGAACTGAGGCGTGCTTCGCCTCTCTCGCCATTGCCTCAAAACCCATACTTTTCCTTCTTCTTGTAAGTATGACTCAGTTCAGCTGCTGACATCCTCCGTTATCACCTCTGCACCCCTCGACCTCTCTTCCTCCCGAGTACACTCGTCCGCCTCTACCGCCGTGAACATCCCCAAGTATATCATGGTCTTTGCCCATAGCCAAAACAAACTTGGGCAAGTTGGCGCGGGGGTATCAACCTTCCGGAGTCGAAAACAGTATTATAATACTATAGTTTTTCCCAATTCACCTCTATTTAGTAAGTAAAAATAACTAAGATAATTTAATGTAAACACATTATTTAGAATTATATTAATCCTTATATGGATTTTCTCTTAGATGGCGTTAACTTACCTAATTGTACTCAACATCTAAATTGCCAACACGACACGAGGCTTCCACGATCCAGCCTGAGATCTGAGCCACACTGAGCCAAACTTTGACTTCCTCAACACTTTAATAAAAATAAAGCCACAAAGTTTAGACTTCACACTTACCGAGACCTTGCCGCTGGGGAGCTGGTAGGGGGGTGGGGGGTCAGAGTTAGGTGGCGTAGTAGTGGTAGTGCCACACCCTACCGCCGCTGACGCCTTTCCTTGTTCACACTGGGTCACATCGGGTTTGGTCGGGTCTGGTTGCGGGGTCGTATGGGACACGAGCGGCTTCGAGTCGGAGGTGTCGTTGGAAGTGGTGGTGGTGGTGGTAGCTGAGGTGGTGGTGGTGGTAGCTGAGGTGGTGGTGGTGGTGTTATTAGTGGTGGGGGTAGTGGAGGTGTTAGAAGTAGTGGTGGTGGTGGTGGTAGCAGAGGTGTTAGAAGTAGTTGTGGTAGAGGATAGTGATGGTAATTTATGGTCATTTTTGGCCTTGAGGGACTTGTGGTGGCTAGAGGACGAAACTAAGGGGTTCTCCGTGACGTGGATAGTGCTGAGGGAGGACGGGGAGATATGGGCGTGGGTGGGCAGGGATGGGCGTGCGCGGGCGGGGAGGTGGGCGGCCTCGCGGTCCTGGTCTGCGCGGGCCGCCATTTTGGTGGTCAGAGCACTCAGAAGCTCAGCCACCTCGCAGGCTGAAACAGTGAAACGTAAGGTTAGGAAAGTTTATAATGAAACACGTATAAACACACTAAACACAGGTGACACACTAAACACAGGTGACACAGTAAACACAGGTGAAACAGTAAACACAGTTGACACACTAAACACAGGTGAAACACCCCTACTTACAGGTGACACCCGCTTTAGGTGAAACAACAAACTGGGTGAAACAGTAAACACAGGTGGCTTACATAAACACAGAGTGAAACAGCAAACACAGTTGACCACACTAAATACAGGTGACACTAAACACAGGTGAAACAGCAAACACAGATTGACACACCTAAACACAGGTGAAACAGCAAACACAGGTGAAACAGCAAACACAGTTGACACACCTAAGCACAGAGTGAACCAGCAAACACAGTTGACCACACTAAACTTTAGGTGAAACAGCAAACACAGGTGAAACAGCAAACACAGTTGACACACTAAGCACAGTTGACACACTAAACACAGGTGAAACAGCAAAGCACAGTTGACACACTAAACACAGGTGAAACAGCAAGCACAGGTGAAACAGCAAGCACAGTTGACACACTAAACACAGGTGAAACAGCAAACACAGTTGACACACTAAACACAGGTGAAACAACAAACACAGGTGACACACTAAAACACAGGTGACACACAACACAAGATTGAAACAGCAAACACAGGTGAAACAGCAAACACAGTTGACACACTAAACACAGGTGAAACAACAAGCCACAGTTGACACACTAAACCCACAGGTGAAACAGCAAACACAGAGTGAAACAGCAAACACAGTGACACACTAAACACAGGTGGAAACAGCAAACACAGTTGACACACTAAACACAGGTGAAACAGCAAGCACAAGGTGAAACAACAAACACAGGTGACACACTAAACACAGGTGAAACAACAGCTTACAATTGACACACTAAACACAAATTGAAACAGCAAACACAAGTGAAACAGCAAGCACAGATGACACACTAAACACAGGTGAAACAGCAAACACAGGTGAAACAGCAAACACAGATGAAACAGCAAACTGAGTGACACACTAAACACACAGGTGACACACTAAAACACAAATTAGAAACAAACCAACCACAGAATTGAAACAGCAAACACAGTTGACACAGTAAGCACTAGGTGACACACTAAACACAGGTGACACACTAAACACAGGTGAAACAACAAACACAGAATTGACAACAAACACAGATGGAAACAGCAAACACAGGTGACACACTAAACACAGGTGAAACAACAGAAACACAGGTGAGAGCAGTAAAGCACAGGTGACACACTAAACACAGGTGACACACCTAAGCACAGGTGAAACAACAAACACAGTTGACTAGTAAACACAGGTGACACACTAAACACAGGTGACACACTAAACACAGGTGAAACAGCAAACACAGGTGAAACAACAAACACAGGCGACACACACACTAAACTGGGCACACTAAAACACAGGTGACACACCCCACTAAACACAGAGTGAAACAACAAACACAGGTAGAAACAACAAACAAAAGGTGACACACTAAACACAGGTGACACACTAAACACAGGTGAAACAGCAAACACAGGTGAAACAGCAAACACAGATGACACACTAAACACAGGTGACACAGCAAACACAGGTGAAGTAGCAAACACAGATGACACACTAAACTTTGGAACGGAAACAGCAAGCAGTTGACACAGTAAACACAGGTGACACACTAAACACAGTTGACACACACCCCTAAACACAGGTGAAACAGCAAACACAGGTGACACTAAGCACAGATGACCACGCTAAACACAGGTGACTGTAAACTGGGTGACACAGTAAACACAGGTGAAACAGCAAGCCCCACAGTTGACACACTCAAAGCACAGGTGAAACAGCAAACACAGGTGACACACTAAACACAGGTGGGGAAACCTTAACCTAGGTGACACACTAAACCACAGATGACACACTAAACACAGGTGAAACAGCAACCTGGTAGACACACTAAACACAGATGACACACTAAACACAGGTGACACAGCAAACTGAGTGACTGATAAACACAGGTGAAACAGCAAACACAGTTGACGTTGACACACTAAACACCACCAGGTGACACACTAAGCACAGGTGGAAACAACCATACAGAATTGAAACAACCAAACACAGATGAAACAGCAAACACAGGTGACACACTAAACACACAAGGTGAAACAGCAAACACAGGTGGAAACAGTAAAACACAGGTGACACACTAAACACAGGTGACACACTAAACTGGGTGAAACAACAAACACAGTTGACTGAAATGCAACTAGGTGACACACTAAACACAAGGTGACACACTAAACACAGGTGAAACAACAAACTACAGGTGAAACAGCAAACACAGGCGACACACTAAGCACAGGTGACACACTAAACACAGGTGACACACTAAACACAGGTGAAACAACAAACACAGGTGAAACAGCAAACACAATTTGACACCCTAAACACAGGCACACTAAACACAGGTGAGAGCAAGCAAACACCAGGTGAAACAGCAAACACAGATGACACACTAAGCACAGGTATTTTAGCAAACACAGGTGAAACAACCAAACACAGATGACACACTAAACACAGGTGAAACAGCAAACACAGTTGACACAGTAACCACAGGTGACACACTAAACACAGTTGACACACTAGCCTGGGTGAAACAGCAAACACAAGGTGACACACTAAACTGAATGACACACTAAACACAGGCACAGCAAACACAGAGTGGAAACAACAAACACAGGTGAAACAGCAAACACAGATGACACACACTCAAGCACAGGTGACTAGCAAACACAGGTGAAACAACAAACACAGATGACACTAAACACAGGTGACACAGCAAACCTTACAGGTGAAACAGCAAACACAGGTGACACACTAAACACAGGTGAAACAGCAAACACAGGTGAAACCTTAAACACAGATGACACACTAAACACAGAGTGACACAGCAAACACAGGTGAAACAACAAACACAAATTGAAACAGCAGAAACACAGGTGACACAGCAAACACAGGTGAGCAACAAACACAGGTGACACTAAACACAGGTGACACACCCCTAGCACAGAGTGACACACTAAACACAGGTGACACAACAAACACAAATTGACACACTAAACACAGGTGACACAGCAAACACAGGTCAAACAACAAACACAGGTGAAACAACAAACACAGGTGACACACTAAACACAGGTGACACACTAAACACAGGTGACACACTAAACACAGGTATTTAGCAAACACAGTTGACACACTAAACACAGGTGAAACAGCAAGCAGGTGAGCAACCAAACACAGGTGACACACTAAACACAGGTGACACACACTAAACACAGAGTGAAACAACAAACACAGGTGACACAGCAAACACAGGTGACACACTAAAACACAGGTGACACACCCCTAAACACAAGGTGAAACAGCAAACACAGGTGGAAACAGCAAACACAGGTGACACACTAAACACAGGTGACACTAAACACAGGTGAAACAGCAAGCACAGTTGACACACTCGCTTTAGGTGAAACAACAAACACAGGTGAAACAGCAAACACAATTGACACACCTAAACACAGGTGACACACTAAGCACAGGTGAAACAACAACACAGGTGACACAGCAAGCACAGGTGACACACTAAACACAGAGTGACACACTAAACACAGGTCAAACAACAAACACACAGAGTGAAACAGCAAACACAGGTGACACACTAAACACAGGTGAGCACACTAAACACAGGTGAAACAGTAAGCACAGGTGACACACTAAACACAGGTGAAACCAACCAAACACAGGTATTTGTAAACACAGGTGACACACTAAGCACAGGTGACACACTAAACACAGAGTGAAACAGCAAACACAGGTGAAACAGCAAACACAGGTGACACTAAACAGGTGACACACTAAACACAGAGTCAAACAACAAACACAGGTGACACAGTAAAACACAGGTGAAACAGTAAAACACAGGTGACACAGCAAGCCCACAGGTGACTTAAACACAGGTGAAACAGCAAACACAGGTGACACACTAAACACAGGTGACACACCTAAGCTTACAGAGTGAAACAACAAGCACAGGTGACACAGTAAACCACCAGGTGAAACAGTAAACACAGGTGACACCTAACTGGTGACACACTAAACACAGGTGAAACAGCAAGCAGGTGACACACACTAAACACAGGTGAAACAGCAAACACAGGTGACACAGTAAACACAGGTGAAACAGTAAACACAGGCCACACTAAACACAGGTGAAACAGTAAACACAGGTGACACAATGCTTTACAGTTGACACAGTAAACACAGGTGAAACAGCAAACACAGGTGAAACAGCAAACACAGGTGACACACTAAACACAGGTGAAACAGCAAACACAGTTGACACACTAAACACAGGTGAAACAGTAAACACAGGTGAAACAGTAAACACAGGTGACACAGTAAACACAGGTGAAACAGCAAACACAGGTGACACAGTAAACACAGGTGAAACAGTAAACACAGGTGACACAGTAAACACAGGTGACACAGTAAACACAGGTGAAACAGCAAACACAGGTGACACAGTAAACACAGGTGACACAGTAAACACAGGTGACACAGTAAACACAGGTGACACACTAAACACAGGTGACACAGTAAACACAGGTGACACAGTAAACACAGGTGACACAGTAAACACAGGTGACACACTAAACACATAAAAGAAAGGCGGTGAAACATAGGTGAAACACACAAGTGAAACATAAGGTTAGGTTTGATGAAATATGAGGTGAAACCGTGAAATGAAACACACAGGTGAAAAATTAAATGAAAAACGCAGGTAAAACATACAGGTGAAGCATGAGTCAAAACACAAAGCTGAAATATTAAGTTAAATATCTGAATAAAGAAGAACAAATTAAAACTCTTTATTTAACCATTATT